GTGATTGCGCCGCGCCGCTTCTTTGCCGCACTGCAGGATCGTCGTGTGATCGCCACCCTTGTTTACCCACCGGCGCCAAGGGAAGAACCCGTGGTGTGCCGCCGGCGTGTCTGATCGCGTAATCGCGGATCAAACTGCGCCGGGGCAATTAGCCACGCCCCCCCACCGCGATATCCGGCCCGTGTGACCGGGGCCTTTGTTAGGTTTTAAGGTGCTACCGGACTCTTTGCTCTTTTCCTCTTCCTCCTATTTTCTTGCTTTAGAAAGCTCTGCCCTCCAGCTGGTGCTTACTCTCTCTGGAGGCGAAAATAGAGGTTGCGGGGGGGAGGGGGGGGCTGTGCACAGAGTTCCTTCATTCCTGGCCCCCAGGTTTTATCCTCACTCCTAAAACATAATTTTTTTTTTGCTGAATGTCTCAACTTAAGATCCATGGAGAGAGCAAGTACAAACTTTTAAGGCTGACAGGGCTCTTTTTGTAGCAGGAACTCCTTTGCATATTAGGTGACACACACCCCCAATGTAGCCAATCCTCCAAGAGCTTACAGTAGCTCCTGTAAGAAGAGCTCTGTAAGCTCTTGGAGGATTGGCTACATTAGGGGAGTGTACCCTATACTGTACAAAGGAGTCTGCTGCTGTATCTCATTGCTCTGGCAAAACAGGATAATCTATCTACTTATTCCATTCATTCCTGAGACTGTGGGTATCATATTTATTAACTGACATCAAATACCTATCCACAAATATTGTCGGCTTTGTTTTCTGCCTTTGATCCAAGTAGAGTTTCCAGGAGGAAAGGGGACTCTGAGACGCGTAACTCTGCAGGGCCATGTTGATACCAACAAACATCACCTTCTGTAGGATGGCAGTGTTTACAATTGCAGCAAGTCATACCTGGACCTCGGCTGCAAAAACAACAAGTTTTATCCTCATTCCAACCCCGTGCAGAAGATTAGGTTGAGAGTTAGAAACTGGCCCAAGGTCGCCCTGTAAGGTTCACAACCAAGGGGGGGGATTTGAACCCAGGTCTCGCCGGTTCCAGTCCTAGTGCTGTAGCTGACGCTGGCTGTCACCGGCTTCACACATTTTGCCAGAGGATGCACAGTGTCCTGGTTCCTGTCCCTAGCTCTCTGTGTGGGGCGCTCTGGCTTGTTACGGAGGTCTCCAGCCCTGATTAATCACTCACTCTTCCCTCTCCCCGAGCAGTTCACTCGATCACTCTGTTGCTCAACCTGCTCGCCTGCCTCGCTTGGTTCACGGTGGAACCCGGAAGAGGCGTGGACTTTGGCCTCTCCATCCTGTGGTTTGTCCTGTTCACCCCCTGCGCTTTCCTCTGTTGGTATCGGCCAATTTATAAGGCTTTCAGGTGAGTACCTTGTTCTGGATGGGGGGCAGGGTGGAGGACAACGGTTGCACTTTGGGGGAGTGTCTTTTTTCCCCTTCCTCCTAGTGTAGAACGTATAGTCACTTAAGACCCACCTATCTGCCAAGAAGCATTGAGCAGTGTGGTAAACACAACGACCCTGTGAGGTAGGCAAGGCTAAGGCAGGATGGCTTGTTTGAGGCTGCCCCCTCATGGTTTCATAGCTAGGCAAGATTTAGATCCTGCGTCAAACTCCAAAGTGTTGTTTGCTGCTTCCTAGAAGAATCAGTCGGTCCCCACCTGCAACCCCAAAATAGCCCATCAAATGACCCGATTTCCAAAATAAATGCCTGTGTCACACGTGCACGTGCTTCTCGCTCTAATGTCCTTGCTAGTCAGAAGCCGGTTTTCCAGATGGAGAAGCTGGAATCGCTTGCATAGTTCTGCTAGTTTCCACCATCGACAAGCTTTTAGTATTTGCTTCTCTCAGCTGTTTAATAGCGCTGGACCAATCTGTTGCCGCAAGTTTCATCCACTTCTTTAGGCCACTGTGAAGCGGACTGGAGAATGGCATAGTGGGCTGCAGCCTGGGTCAGTGCCCCTGTCAGTTCAGGCGGAAGCAGCCCTGGGGTGCTGTTTGGCACGGGCAAAGCAAGCATTCTGTTGTCCCCGTGTCTGGTTCCAAACCGGCTTTAAAGACACAGCTGCACTTCGAGGCAGTCGAGCTCACTGCTAGAGGATCAGGATCGGTTAGCAGCAGAACCCTGTTGTGTTCCGGAACTCGCAGCAGGCCCTGCTCGCAAGGTTCAAAAAGGATCTGGGTGGAATGGAGCGGGTGCTGCAGAGGAGAGCGACGAGGATGAC